TTAAAAGAACAGCGTTGTTGAAAGCTTTAGAAAACCTCCGCTTCATTTCGCTTCTATTTCAACATTCTTGTTGACCTTTTCATCCATTATTTCCTCGTCATGCCGTCTGAAGTGTCAAATAGGGCCTCACCTTCCAGTTTTATAACTCTCCCAAGTACCGTTTTCAACACTTAGACAAGATCGCACACACCTCCTAGCCTGACTCCCCTCTAATTAGACCTCCCCGGGGGGGAGCGAGTTGTGATCTCCCCTCTCGTTCGCGCCACTCCCCAGCGCTCCCGCCGCAGCTCCTGCCCTCGGAATGGGATCCGAGGTCAAGGCTCGGGCAGAGCCGAGAGAGCTCAACGCGACGCTCCAGTCGTGAGCGGCGTGAAAAATATGCTGAGCAGATGACGCAGCTCGGGACAAACAAAACGGGAAATAAATCAACAGCGCTCGACTGCAATGACGGAAGAGACAGATGGAGTCCAACATGTTTCATGGGGGACGGAACGCCAGAGTTCGGATAGGGAGAAACAAACCTCCCTCTGACGAAACAAACACACTCACGAGAAGGTCCAGGAGAAGGGGACGGGGCACCCACCTGTACGAGTCGCACTACGGTGGACTGCCCAAGAAGGAAAACAAAAAAAAAAAAAAAAAAAAAACGCCCTTCTGCTGTAATGTTGCCATCTACTGGTGGCCCCTTGACAATGCACGCTATGAAGTAAATGTTCATTGGCAAGATGCAGCAGTTTTGCTTGAGACGAAGACATTCTGCCTGGCGGCAAGTGACCGTGAAAGCAAATCTTTAAGTTTATATATTTAGGGTCAGGCAAAATGATCTGACACATTTGTAGCTGACATAAAAGGCAAATAAAGTAAAACAAAAAAAGTGTTTTTATTTTTCGAAAAGTAGATATACTGCCATTTTTTTTCATATAATGCCATTTTGCTTTGTTTCTTGATAACGCCATTGTTTTTCGTTTCTTTTTCAGTTGCTGCCATGAATTGGACTGGTGAGCATTGCACTTTCATCGCGGAAACGTCGATCAAAATAAACGAATCTGTAACTGCATCACAACGAGCGTTCCGTTTGCACTTCAATCTCGGTAGCTGTGTGATCCCATACCGGCTCGAAACGCGATCTTGTTATGGGTTACCAACTTCAGAGCTACCGGATCCGCATTGAAACAAAAATCAACCGGCCGACCTCGCACCGCCAGAACGCCACTTCATTTTTAAAACAGAATGAAACAGAATGGCATTATATGTACTTTTCGAAAATAAAAACACTTTTTTGTTTCTTTACTTGATTTGCCTTTTATTTAACCTACAAATATGTCAGATCATTTTGCCTGACCCTGTGCATATGTCACCCACAGCAACCTCTTCCCGCATAAAACGCAAACCCTTCTTCATTCTTAAGTGTTCAAATGCAGCAGCTCCTTGTGAGTGTTGTCATTTTGCATTTCTACGTTTAACTGTTTGTCACGTTGAATAAATGGCTGAAAATGCATTGGCAACTTTGTGTCCACATGCAAGGGCATCAGCCTTTTTTGTTTTCACCCCCAGACTTCCCTTGAGCATCGGACACTTGCTCCTAATGCCAATTTTGGCTCAACGCGGCAAGGTCAAAGCACCGCTGTGTTCGCCATCAAGTTTGCACAGCAAAATTCAAGTGCCAGTGTCTCATCTGAGGATGACTGTTCCCTTTCCCATTTTCCACCGCCTTCCGCTGCTCTTTGCCAGTGTCCATTGCGAGTCCTTCCTTTGGAATCTGCCATCACTCATTCTGCTCCCGGTGGCTTTTTATTCACCAGTGTACCAAGGGCGGGATGGAGTTTCACAGTTTTCGGCCAAGCTCTGGCGGGATAAACGCCCGCTCGCCCCAATTTGGAACAGGAGCATCCCGGCACACCTACAGCAAGCAACTCGCTCACGCAAGAATGCCAGCAACACTCCGTGAAAAGTTCATGCTTTGCAAACATAAGCTCCACTTCAATTTAGCCTGACGTTACACACACCCATTTTTCAGCAAAGGCACACTCGGCAGAGATGAAGACCAGATGGCAACAATGGGATGAGAATGAAAGATTTGGTTGTGTAACTGAAAGCAGTCCTTCTTGTTAACAGACTCCAAAAACTTGCTCCATCCATCCATCCATTATAGGCCAGATGTTGCTTTAACTCCTCGAGTGGGACCAATCCTTCTCCAAATTAATTCACTTCCCATTCCGTCCCACAACAAACGCTCGTCAAAGTTCAATGAAGATTCTCTGCATCTTTGTCATCACGCAATCAAGTCCGATCAGTTTGCCGCTGAAAGGTAAAGACCCGCATGGCGGAGTGACTTTATGAGGTCTCCACATTTAATCGTGAGATTTAGAAACAATGTATACATTGTCAATGTTAAATATTTACAGATAAATGTCAGACCAAAAGAGACTGTCTTAAAAAAAATGGTTAAGAGTAGTCTCAAAAGGCTTCTTTTTGAATAAAAATAAAATCGTTAGCTGTTTATATGAAGTGAAATCCATCGACTAATTTTGACTCAAATAAAAACAAATTTAAATTGGGTTCTCGTTATTTTATGTTTCATTAAAAAAAAAAAAAGAATCTTGCTCAACATCACTGTCACAAATACTTCCAAATAAGTTTGGGCAAAACTGGTCGTCAATCGTGTGAAGTCGGGTGGTCGGCATCTGTTGAGTGTCAACACTAACTTGTAATTTACATTTTTAATTTAAAAAATGAAGTCGTCAGTAACTTCAAGTTTCAAGTCAGCTCATCAGGAAAGTAACTAAGTGGCTTTTTCAGGGTAACCGTAGCAACACTGCCCATCTGGATCCTGCCAGCGGCTTCCCCGCGTGTCCATGGGAGGCGGCAGTCCAACGTTAAGTGGGGCCATTTCCTTGAAAAAACACCACAATTTGCTGCTTCTTGTGGCCAACTTCCTTATGAATTCCAGCAGGGATCATTACAAGGAATTGTTGTGGCCAAGCACTGCGACAAGAGAAATTGTTGCGCAGATAGCTGGCACATTTTTCTTTTTGTCTTTTTTTTTCCCGGGGAAGATTCTGCATGGGCGCATGAATCAAGGAGATGGCGTGAGAGCCCTCCAAGGCTCACTTAAGGTATGCCATTATGTCACCCACAAAGGAAGGTCTATTCCATTTAGGGTCAGAGCCACAGGCCACTTGGCCCACACACGCAAATCACCGAGAAGAGGACCTCCAAAGACCAAACACACAAGTATAGGGCCCCATTCTCCTTCACCAGAATAGTCGCGCCGAGACGCTGACCCGAGGTCGAAAATGAGAGAGTCGCCGGGACCGCTTGTTGATCGGCCGTCTCTGAAGTCAAGAGCGCAGGTCATTGCTGTGCCGGCAAATGCGCTGATTCATGCTCCCCCCCACCCCCATCTTGCACACATGCTTGCCATGTTTTGGCCGCCTCCTCAGCCAGACGCTGCCTTCTTGCCACTGTCGCAAAAGACGGGGACTCGATCCAGAGCCGTCAAGATGCAAGCTGCACTCGTGGACCGCCAACTAGTGGACTCCAAGCTCATGTTTAGACCAGCTCTCGGACCCAAAAGAAAGACATACAGAATGTGGAAATGTGGACAAAAGTGATCCTTTGAAGGAAACGATCCCGGGGACAAGCCAAATGTACCCCTAAGGCACGGTTGTCAAACTCAAGGCCCTGGGGCCAGATCCAGCCCACCACTTCATTTCATGTGGCCCGCGGAAGCAAATCTTGTGCATCATTTTCTTCCCAAAAGTCCCTTTTTACAGTAACTCAAACAATCTATTAACATTGATGTCTGACTTCAAAAGTAGTTCTGATGTACAAAAATGAATTTGATGCCTTTAACTTGAAGCTATGAGCATTATTTTAACCATCATCATGGCATAACAAATGATGGATTCTCAGTTGCAGTCAAACAATGCAAAATAAAAGCAAACACAAATCCATCGAGAGTGCAGGTGGTAGTGTACACGGTGAGCACAAAGGTGTGATAGGGTGGGGGGGCTCTTGCCGGTGAGTGTTTTCTAGATAAACTCAAGGCACCCCAAGGAAGAACCTCCCTGACTGAGGCTAATTCTTGGACATCGAGGTCACAGTTTGTGGCTTTTCTCGGGCCAAAAAGGTACAAGTGTACCGTCACGTGGTTAAAGTGTCCAGGGTAGCAAAAGGGGGACCTTTAAAAGGTGATCGAAGGTAGCGCTGAACGGGCGGCCTTCATCTCACATTGTTCACTGATTAAAGTGGACTAAATGAAGGCCGGACCACCACAAGGCGCTCTCAGCACCTGTCGTGCCGTCCGTTGCGCGGCGTGCGGCCGCCTGCGGGAGATAACAAGCTTGAGTTGCGATTAGTGTGAACTGACTGCACACACGCCACTGATTAGGATGACGTGCGCTGTCTGGTCCACTTCGGGGCTTTCTTGGGAGTATGGCGCTTAGAAAAAAAAAATCAAGTGCCGCTGCACCAAATGACTGGCGATGGATTTGATTTCTGAGCATTCAGTAACAGGACTGTTAAAATACTGCTGGTTTAGATTTATTTAGATGTAATGCACAGCATTGGGCCAATTATTGAACTTTATTGTACTAAATGAGATGTACAATAAAAGTGAAAATGTCCCTTTTTTTCCCTCAATCACCTTACATGGTTAAATCAAGTTTTTGGAATCTGAATGAATACTTTCAAGGCACTCTATACTATCAATCCAAGTGATTTTGCAATATATACAGTTCATTTGGAGGACAATGACATACAAATACATGCAAGGTTGGAATACCAGGAGCAAATGTGTCCAAATCACTTTACATTTGAAAGGTGAACGACTACTGTTTACTTGGTAATTCCATAACAATGATTTATATTTAGTCTCCATTTAATAGCTCCAGGTGACAATAGGGTCGAATAACCCACTGCTGCCTGTTACAGCGAACATTTTTTTTTCCTTAACAGATGAGACATTGGCTCCACCACTGTGCTCTTCCGAACCTTACCTTGACCCAAACCGCGAACAGAAGCAGTCCAGTCGCGCCCCAGCCGCCCCCCGACATCTCTCCCCAAATTCCACGCGTGTGCACACTGAATGGAGACAAGTGATCGCGTCTCTTTTGCTTCTGCTTGGTGCCTGTGCGAGTGGGTGTGCATGTGCGCGGGGGCGTGCGTGAGAGTGTGTGTGACAGTGTGGAGGGGGCGTGGGAGACGGGGTGGGAGACGGGGTGGGTGGGGTGTTGACTCGGATCGGATCCCGCACCGAAGCGAAGCACGCCAGGCTCCCAGTAAGTGACGTCTGACGTAACATTTTTTTACGTAGCATGATGTTGCTGCCGTTGCGGTCACGTTGCTGCTCAATTTATGTTTGCATTCCAAGAAGGAGTGAAGGAAAAGAGAGAGAGGAAAAAAAGAGTGTGTGGGTGTGTGTGGGGGCGGGGAGTTCTTAAAGAAACACGCACCTGGACTGCTGCTTTCACACGCTGACGTCACTTACGTCCATTGAAGACGAGAGATTTCAAAACACTACTCGGGCAACTTTTAAATCACACAAAACACATAATAATAATAATAATAATATTAATAATAATAAAAGACAATTGGAGAGAATAATAAGCAAGGCAACCACTCTAACCAGGAGTGGAGCTACGTGGTGGCCAGGGGCACCCCTGTCCACCCCGTATCATTTTCTGTCCACCCCCACAGCAAGGGAATTTTTTTTTTCATTTTCACATGGATGCAGTATTCTTAGACCCATTGATAGTCCTCCACAATTTATTTTATATAAAGAATATATACTTGATCTGAATATCTTCTTCTTCTTCTCCTTTCGGCACGTCCCTATTCAGGGGTCGCCACA